TTGTTACTCCTGTCTGGGTCCCACCTCTAGCAATTCTGATTTAACTGGTTTGGGATAGAGCTTGGAAATCACCAATTTTAAAAGATCACCAGGTGGAGAAGGAAATAACAACTCACTTCAGTATTCTTGCCTGGGAATTCCCACGGACAGAGGAGCCTGGCAGGCTATGGTCCATGGAGTTTCAAGAGTCAGACATGACTTAGAGACTAAACCACCACCACAGCAGAAACCAGCAAGCCCACACACTGTAAACAATTATCCTCCGATTATCCAATAAAAAATTAAGATCACCAGGGATTTCCATGGTGGTCCAGTGGTTAAGAATCCACCTTCCAGTGCAGGAGACAGGTTTGATCCCTGGTCTGGGAAGACCCTGTATGCTGTGAAGCAACTAAGCCTGTGCCCACAACTACCGAGCCTGCACTCTAGGACCCACAAGATGCAGCTATTGAGCTGTTTGTGGTGCAACTACTGAAGCCCACTTGACTAGAGCCTCTGCCGCACAAGGGAAGTCACTGCAATGAGAAGCCTGTGCATTGCAACTGGAGAGTAGCGCTTGCTCAGCGCAACTAGGGAAAGCTGGCACACAGCAACAAAGACCCAGTGCAGCCAAAAAATAAATTAAAAAAAATTTAAATAAAAGATCATCAGATAATTCTAGTGTGCTGCCATAGTTGACAGTTAATGACTTAAGCTCATACAAGATGACTAGACAAACGTTAAGATTTGATTGGTCTGGAGTGGGATTCAAGTTTTAGAATATTTTTTTAAAGCTATCCAGTTGATTCTAATAGCAATCAGAATTCATAACCACTGGCTTAGACAAAGCATGATTCATTTTCTGGAGTTTATGGAAAAAAATTCTTGTATCTAAGTAGGAGAGGGATGATGTTGAAGGAGGCAATCAGTAGTATCTGTCATACCTGTGCTCTTGCCAGGAGTTAACATTATGAAACTATCATTGTTTGGTCATTTTAGTGGTGTTCTGGGACAATACCTAAAGGAAATGGCATATATATATATGTTTAATCAGCAGTCTTCATGTTCTTTTCAAAAGCAAGGTTTGGGTTTTCTGAATCTTATGTATTTTAACATTTTTATATTCTGTTTTTATCTTCATTAATTTTTTCCTGTTTTTTTTTTTTTTTTTGGAGTTTCTTGCAGTGTTGAATTCAAATCAGTTTTTTTAAAGGAGTTTAATGTTACTAAATTTTATTTTGAGGGGGTAGTTTTCCTGTGTCCAGGTTTTTTATATGTATTACTTTCCTTTTCACTTTATTTCTAGGTATTTTATATTTCTATTTAGGCTCACATTTAACATGAGAATTACTTAGGACTGTGTCTTACTTTGTTTGATAACTTAAATTTTGATTAATTTAAATCTTTATTCAACTTGCAGAAAAGTTACAAGAATAATACAAAGTATTCTTGGGTACTCTTTGCTCAGAATCACCAGTAGTTTACATTTTGTTCCATTTGTATTATCATTCCTGTGTGCATTTGCAGTTGTTCTCTGTCTCTATATATGCATGCATGCACACTCACAACTACACAATACACACATTTTATCTGAACTATTTAAGAATAAATTGTAGAATTTGCCCCTTTACCCTTAAACACTTCACTGTGTTATTTCCTAGGGACAAGAGTGTTCTCTTACATAATCATAATATAGTCACTAAAATAAGAGATTTTAACAATAGTGCATTACTGTCAATATACAAGTTTTTTGCTCGTCCCAATAATATTCTTTGTAGCGGTTCATCCTACCCTCATCCCTCCCCCTCTCTCCCTGATTCACTGTCCAGGATCACACACTGAATTTACTCATCATGTCTCTCTCTAGTCTTTAACCTGGAAGATTAAAGATGTCTGCATTTCATGATGTTGACATTTTTGAAGAGGATAGGCAGTTTATTTTGTAAAATGTCACTTAATTAGGATTTGTCTTATGGCTACTCATAATTACATTCAGGTTATGAATTTTGTGGCAGGAATACCACAAAAGTGATTGTTTCCTTCTCAGGACATCATAGAACGGAGTATGTGATATTGACTTGCCCCATATTAACTTTGATGACTGGTTATGGTGGTATCTACTATGTGTCTTCACTGTAAAGGTAGTAGTTATCTCTTTGTAATTAACAGCTAATTAATTTATAATTAATAGCAAAAGATACATTGAAACTATGTAAATACCTCATCACCAAACTTTTACCCACAACTTTTAGCATCCATTGATGTGTGGGATCCTTTATCCATTACTGACTGGCTCCTTTATTACTATGATGTTTTCAAGATGGTAGAAATTTAAAATCTCCATGATTTTGTCTGTATTAATTATTTGGTATTCGACTGTGAAGGAGAGCATTCCCTTATCCCTTACTTATTTATTCATTTGTTACATCAGTATGTATTTGAAGATTTTCATTTACTCAGTGTGTTATTGATCCATTACCATTTATTTTGATACTCAAATTGTCCCAGATTTGGTCAGTGGGGGTCTATTCATGCTGGCTTCTGTGTACTTTTGACTTTCCCCATGATTCTTTGAGCATTTCCTCTCTTTCTGGCCCAGGATGTTACAGGCTTATTTCTAATTACTCTCCTAGCTCCAGCCTGAAGTAAATAATTTCTCTAAACAGCATGGTTTCTTGCTGTAAAGAATATTTAGAAACCAAGATCTGGGTGATAGGACTACAGTATTCAGTCTGGTCTTAATCCTGTCCCAGATTTGTATCTCCCTTCTCCAGTAGTTAAAAACCTAACTCTCATTGTCCTCATTATATTTACTAATTTGTTCAGTTCTATAATATAACAAAAATAGTTTTAGATTTCCTAACCTATACTATAGTAACTATCAAACCTACTAAGTGGAGCTCAGTATTTGTTTATAGTTCTCTTTGTTTTCAGAATAAGGGTACATAGTTAAAATACTTCTGTGTTAAAATTTATTTGAATTCATTTTTTAATCCCCTCCTTCAGTGTGGCTGTTATTCATTCGAAATACTTTTAGGTTCATTTGTTCCTGTTTGTAATGTTTGATTTTTTAAATTAATTTTAACACATTCTTGTTGATTTGATTATATGAACATGGTTCCAGTTAGAGCAGTATCACTCTGATCCTATGACCCTTGATTTAGTGAATATTATGTGCTTGATTGTGTCCCCTCTTCCCTAATTCATATGTTGAAGCTCTAACTCCCTAGTGAGGGCTGCATGCATGTATGCTAAGTCACTTCAGTCGTGTCTGACCCTTTGCAGTCCTATGGACTGTAGCCCATCAGGCTCCTCTGTACGTGGGATTTTCCAAGCAAGAACACTGGAGTAGGTTGCCATACCCTCCTCCAGGGGATCTTCCCAACCTAGGAATCAAACCTATGTCTTACATCTCCTGCATTGGCAGTCTGGTTCTTTACCACTGGTGCCACCTGAGATATGTTTATATATATGTCCTGCCACCAAGTGGAAAAGGGAATGGCAACCCACTTGAGTACTCTTGCCTGGAAAATCCCACAGATGGAGGAACCTGATAGGCTACAGTCCCTGGGGTCGTGAAGAGTCGGACACGACTGAGCGACTTCAATTTCACTTTTCACTTTCATGCATTGGAGAAGGAAATGGCAACCCATTGCAGTGCTCTTGCCTGGAGAATCCCGGGGATGGAGGAGCCTGGTGGGCTGCCATCTATGGCGTCATACAGAGTTGGACATGACTGAAGTGACTTAGCAGCAGCAGCTTGCCACCAAGACATATTTAGACCTAATCTAAACAAGCTTGTTGTTTGAGTAATGCAGGAAAAGACTGGACCTGGAATATTTTTACCTCTGGGGACTTGAGTTGCTTATTTGTTCAAGGTCTTAATTGATGTCTGAATCCTTTTCCAGGTCTCCTTTAGGTCTTCCAAAATAATAGCTACCAAACATGGTGGCATTATTTTATACAACTGTGTAAATACCTTATATGTGATTTGAGAATCATTTCAATAATGATTGGTGTTCAGAGAACTCATCTATCTGCATCCTCCTTGTAATTTTCCAAAAGTATCCCATTACCTCCTATCTTATTCCTTTTCTGGGACTTTAGAACTACACTCTCAATTACTTGGTTGTGGCCTTTGCAAGTCCCCTTTATTGTTCTCCCAAGATTAGCCTCATAGACTTCCTAAGTAAACATGGATTTTATCAAATGGCATAAACAAACTATATTCTAACCACAAAAGAATCTTTCCTCTTTATTGCTAATTCCAGACTTATTCAGTTCATTAATCTTTCATCAAGATGCTGCTATATCTAATTAACTTTCTCTTCTATCTCCTTGAGGGATGCAATTTATGACCATCTATCCTAGAATTTTCCTTCCTAGTATAGTTACTTAAAGCTCTAAACAACCCTCAGAAATGAGTTAAATGACAATTATGCTCATTTTAAAATGTATATGACACTAGTTTTACCCTCTAATAAAATTGGGATAGGGCCTGGACATATTTATAATTCTTGAGCTCCCTACTTCTTTAGGGTATTTTTATCTATATCACTATTTAGGAATGATTGACTTAATCACTTTTCCTAAATAAGTCTTTCACCTTCTAGTGTTTCTTCTCATTCTGTTTCCTTATCTGTTTGTCAAAGTGTCCAGTCATAAATGAGAACTATATAAGCCATTTACTTTTTATGAAAATGAGTTTAAGTCTTTTCACATCTATTATAAAAGCTTACTTCTCCCAGAACACACACACAAAAAGTGAATGTTTTTATATTTTCTTTCAGACTGTGAATCAAGGTTGAGACCAAGAATTATTTCTGAAAAAGGATATTTATGGAATAGAATCATCCTGGTGGGAGATAATGGAAAGACTTATAAAAAACAGCATTGAGTACTCACGTTTCAGAGGTGATTGGGAATGTAAAAGCCAGTTTGAGAGAAAACAGGAATCTCAGGAAGGACATTTCAGTCAAATGATATTTACTCCTGAAGACATGCCCACTTTCAATACCCAGCATCAGAGAATTCATACTGATGAGAAACTCCTTGAATGTAAGGAATGTGGGAAGGATTTTAGTTTTGTATCAGTCCTTATTCGACATCAGCGAATTCATACTGGTGAGAAACCTTATGAATGTAAAGAATGTGGCAAGGCCTTTGGTAGTGGTGCAAATCTTGCTTACCATCAAAGAATTCATACTGGTGAAAAACCTTATGAATGTAATGAATGTGGGAAGGCCTTTGGTAGTGGCTCAAACCTTACTCACCATCAGCGAATTCACACTGGTGAGAAACCATATGAATGTAAGGAATGTGGGAAAGCCTTTAGTTTTGGATCAGGCCTTATTCGACATCAGATAATTCACAGTGGTGAAAAGCCTTATGAGTGTAAGGTATGTGGGAAGTCCTTTAGTTTTGAATCAGCCCTTACTCGGCATCACAGAATCCATACAGGCGAGAAACCTTATGAATGTAAGGATTGTGGAAAAGCCTTTGGCAGTGGTTCCAACCTTACTCAGCATCGAAGAGTTCACACTGGTGAGAAACCTTATGAATGTAAAGGATGTGGAATGGCCTTTAGTAGTGGTTCAGCCCTTACTCGGCATCAGAGAATCCATACTGGTGAGAAACCATATATATGTAATGAATGTGGGAAGGCATTTAGTTTTGGATCAGCCCTTACTCGACATCAAAGAATTCACACTGGTGAGAAACCTTATGTATGTAAGGAATGTGGGAAGGCTTTCAATAGTGGCTCGGATCTCACTCAACATCAGAGAATTCACACTGGTGAGAAACCTTATGAGTGTAAGGAATGTGAGAAAGCCTTTAGAAGTGGTTCAAAACTTATTCAGCATCAAAGAATGCACACTGGTGAGAAACCCTATGAGTGTAAGGAGTGTGGGAAGGCCTTTAGTAGTGGTTCAGACCTCACTCAACATCAGAGAATTCATACTGGTGAGAAACCTTATGAATGCAAGGAATGTGGGAAGGCTTTCAGTAGTGGTTCAAAACTTATCCAACACCAGCTAATTCACACTGGTGAAAAACCCTATGAATGCAGAGAATGTAGAAAGTCCTTTAGTAGTGGCTCAGCTCTTAATCGGCACCAGAGAATACACACTGGTCAGAAACCCTATGAATGTAAGGAATGTGGGAAGACTTTTGGTCCTGGCTCAACCCTTACTCAGCATCAGAGAATGCATACTGCTGAGAAGCTTTATGAATGTAAGGGATGTGGGAAAGCTTTGGGGAGGGGTTCAGAAATTCAACAACATAAGAAAAATCATGCTGGTGAGAAGCTCTGTGAATTGGAAACTCCATAACGTTGGAATTATATAGTTAAGGAAGCATACAATAAGAAAATTCATACTAGTGAGAATCCCCACAAATGTAATTAAAGTATATATATCTTACTTATACTTTACCAGTTAGTCAGTCTGAGAAAATTCATACAGAAAAAAAAATTTTTTAACCAATCTGAATAAAATATTTGAAGATTTTTATCTAAATTCACTATTTTTAGAAAATTCACACTTGTGAATATTAAAAATTGAAAAATCTTTTATTGTATATTGCCTTCATTTTAAACATTGGAATTTATTCAGGGGCTAATTTTGCTACTTTCTTTTTAATGTTCTTATTTTTGTGTGTATTATACAGAATTACTGATCCATTTCAAAATTATTTTAAATTATTATTGAGGGTTTAAATTTACCCTTTTTCTTTCTCCCCCATTTCTCATACTAATATCATTTATTCAATAACCATATCTATTTTTATTGTTGTTTGATAGTATATTTTTATACATATAAAGCTTAAATATCACTTCAGTATTTGTTTTCAAATTTGCATATCTGTGTTTGTATCTGTTTTTCACCCTGTTTGTGTTAAGTTATGGTTACTTCTACATATCCTTTAATGTCTTATGGATATGTACTTTTTGTTTTGGAAGGTTGTTTTATTTTTCTTTTATAAACTTTATACTGTTCTTTTTGCAGAACAATTTTCCTACATAAAAATGTAGATATGAGTTAAAAATAGATATAGTTATCTGTAATCTTATCAGTCATAGATAATCAATGTCAAATTTTTGAAGCAAATCCTTTAAGATTATATCTGACATTGCTTTTGAAAGAAATGTGATCATGCTATAACCAGCTTTTAATATTCTTTCTCTGTAAATATATTGTTACAATTCCACTGGCATTAAAGTATTTACCTGTTTTTATCAAATCCTTATTTTTGTCAAATACAGAAAAAATTTTTCATCATAAAGAGTTACTCTGTTGGCCCCTTTTGAATGTGTCTGCTTTATTTGTTGTTCATTTTAAAGATAATGTGTGGATCTCTTCTGCTTTATATTATTTATGCATCATCTGTAAAATCTTACTTCCCTTTGGCTAACATCCCTGAACTCAGTTACTTCCCCAGCATTAACTAACTTGCTTATTCTTCCAGATCCTTTTATGTGCATAAGTGATGTGTTTATGGTACTGTGGGCATAGTTAGTGTGGTTCTGAAGCAAATTGTGGGGATTCTACAGTTGTGCCTATCACATAATAAATACTTGGTTAATTTAGCCATCATCATTGTTATCTTCTCAGTCTTTGTTATTTATGGTAAAAGTGTTAACTGTGATCTCTACCTTACTCAACATCAAAGACACTATGAGGAAAAGACATTTATGTAAGTGAACATAGGAAAAGTTTGATCAACATGTATCCCTTATTGAACAAGAATAATTCATCTTAATTAAGAATAAAGAATGTAAATTTAAGAAGGCAAAAATAAATCATAAAACTTTAAAAAATAGGATAGCTCTTTCATAAAAATCTGAACACTGAAAAATAAAATTAGCCTCATAGTGGCATAAGATGCCCACAAGTAAACTTGGCATATATCCACAAACAAATTGCCTCTGAGGTTGTTGTGGGATCCAGCACTATAGCCCAGTGGACTTGAGAGGAGTCTTACCCACCTGTGTATATCATGTAATAGGCAGATAGTTCTTGGAATATGGGCTGTTGAACCAGCACGAGTCTATAAACTGGCCCCAGTCCTTCTTGGCTGTACTCAAGGTAAACCTGGAGAGTGCTGACTTCAGCAGACACCCACAGATGAGAGACACTTTGTAGATGTTCAGATTTCCTGAGGAGAGATTCCAGCACTCTGTTGAAGAAATAGGGAAGGAAAAAAAAATACCTTTGACTGCATTGGCAAGACTAAAATGAACTTTGCCAGCACTCAGGGCTTTATCTAAATAAGATCAAGGGAAGCAATCGCTGGTGTGTACATGGGCAGCACACTGGAGACAGCTCAGACCTATGTAGCTGACATGGGCTGAGCACCTATGCAGGGCCCCCTTGCTCCAGGGCCCCCAGCCTGAAGTGAGGGGTGTGGTTCTTAAAACAGAACTAGCTTGGGTCTGACCCTCAGGACTTCTGCCCCAACAACCTGGGATCAAATTCTGCCCCCAGTAGGGCAGTGACAGCTCTTGAGCAGAGGACACCTCACTCCCAGCCCTAGCTCTAGCCCCTCCATCTCCAACCCCACCTCCTACCAAAGTGACAGCCGTCAGCACACCCTAAAGAAAGATACTACTTGTGTCCATGACAAATCCAGCTCTCCAAACAAAGGCACTGGGTACCTGCAGGGTCTCTAGGGATACTCTCACATAAGAACATCCCTTCAAGACTGCAATAAGTAACTTTCATCTAAATTTATAGAGGCAGAGAAAGTTAAGCAAAATGAAAAGTCAGAGGGACTGATTTCAATTGAAAAAGCAAGAGATGCATTCCTATACACTAATGACAAAAGATCAGAGAGATTAAGGGAACAGTCCCATTTACCATCACATCAAAAAGAATAAAATAATGTAGGTGGAAACCTACCTAAGGAGGCAAAAGACCTATACTCAGAAAACTAGGATATTGACAAAAGAACTCAAAGATGACAAGAATAGATGGAGAGATACACCACGTTCTTGTATTGAAAGAATGACTTATTATGAAAATGACTCTGCTATCCAAAGCAATCTACAGATTCACTGCAGCCCCCAACAAATTACCAAAGGCATTCTTCACAGAATTAAAAAATTTTTAACATTTTACATGGAAACATAAAAGACCCTAAATAGTGAAAGCAGTCTTAAGAATAACAGAGCTGGAGGAATCAGGCTCCTTGGCTTCAGAATATACTACAAAGTTACAGTGATCAAACAGTATGGTACTGGCACAAAAACAGAAATATAGATCAATGGAACTGGATAGCAAGCCCAGAGATAAACCTACACATCTGTGGCCACCTACTCTATGACAATGAAGGCAAGAATATATAATGGAGGAAAGTTGTTATTGTTCAGTCACTAAGTTGTGTGCATCTCTTTGAGACCCCGTGGACTGTGGCACTCCAGGCTCCTCTGTTCTCCACTATCTCCTAGAGTTTGCTCAAATTCATGTCCATTGAGTCAGAGATGCTATCTAACCATCTCATCTTCTGACACCCCCTTCTCCTTTTGCCTTCAATCCTTCTCAGCATCAGACAGTCTCTTCTATAAGTTGTGCTGGGAAAACTGGACAGCTACATGTAAAAGAATGAAATGAGACCACTCCCTAACACCATGAGAGAGTTACAGGCAGGAAGGGTAGGGGTCTCCAACCTGAAGAAATAGGCTACAAGTGTCAGACATTTTTTCTCTCTCTCTTATGCAGCAGGAGAAAACAAACTAAAAGTGTCAGATTTTTTTCCCTTCTCTATACAAATTTAAAAGGAGGTTTCTTTTAAAATTCTTTGTTGCCATGATGACACCTGGTTCCACCTGAACTTAACTTTTCTCAAACCTTGACCTAACCAATGTGTTTTTCTCATGGAAATGTTTTTCTTTTTTTTGTTTGTTTGTTTTTTTTTTCCATTTATTTTTATTAGTTGGAGGCTAATTACTTTACAGTATTGTAGTGGTTTCTGTCATACATTGACATGAATCAGCCATAGATCTACACGTATTCCCCATCCCGATCCCCTCTCCCACCTCCCTCTCCACCTGATCCCTCTGGGTCTTCCCAGTGCACCAGGCCTGAGCACTTGTCTCATGCATCCAACCTGGGCTGGTGAACTGTTTCACCCTAGATAATATACATGTTTCGATGCTGTTCTCTTGAAACATCCCACCCTCACCTTCTCCCACAGAGTCCAAAAGTCTGTTCTGTACATCTGTGTCTCTTTTTCTGTTTTGCATATAGGGTTATCGTTGCCATCTTTCTAAATTCCATATGTATGTGTTAGTATATTGTATTGGTCTTTATCTTTCTGGCTTACTTCACTCTGTATAATGGGCTCCAGTTTCATCCATCTCATTAGAACTGATTCAAATGAATTCTTTTTAATGGCTGAGTAATATTCCATGGTGTATATGTACCACAGCTTCCTCATCCATTCGTCTGCTGATGGGCATCTGGGTTGCTTCCATGTCCTGGCTATTATAAACAGTGCTGCGATGAACATTGGGGTGCACGTGTCTCTTTCAGATCTGGTTTCCTTGGTGTGTATGCCCAGAAGTGGGATTGCTGGGTCATATGGCAGTTCTATGGAAATGTTTTTCTTAAGCTTTGTTAATGAACTATGTATTTACCCTAGACTCTATCTTTCTTCAAGTCAGTTTGCCTAAGTCTCAGTACGTACTTGACAAACCAGTATGTTTTACTCATGGAAATGTTTTCTTAAGCTATGTTAATGAGACTATAGCTTTGCTTGGAAACCTGCCTTTCTTCAAGATTCATGTCAATCATTTTATGGCCTGGGATGACTCATCCTGTGCCAATGTTATCTCAAATGTATGTTGTGGGTGAGGGACCTGGTGCCACTCTCTGAGTTTTGAGACATTTCCTTTCTCTAATTACCAGCCTGTTAGTGGCTATATAACCTCCTGCCAAAGACTAGCAGGGGGGCACTCTTTCTGTCCCCTTCTGATGTCCGTGTCAGAAGCTCTCTCTATTTCGTTTATGCTTTAATAAAGCTTTGTCACTCAAAAACTCTGAGCCATCAAGCCTCATGACTGGCCCCAGATTAAATTCCTTTCCTCTGGAGGCCAAGAATCTCAATGTCTTTCACGGCTCGGCAACAACCTTTCATCTTGGGGGCTTGTCCAAGTAGGCTGTCCAAAGATACCCAGAGTAACAGGCAAGTTTGGCCTTGGAGTAAAAACTGAAGCAGGGCAAAAGCTAACAGAGTTTTGCCAAGAGAATGCACTAATCATACAAACCAGCGCAAACACCCTTTTCCAACAACACAAGAGATCACCCTACACATTCATATCACCAAATGGTCAATACCAAAATCAGATTGATTACATTCTTTGCAACTGAAGATGGAGAGGCTCTATCATATCAGTTCAGTTCAGTTGCTCAGTCATGTCCGACTCTTTGCAACCCCACGGACTGTAGCACACCAGGCCTCCCTGTCCATCACCAACTCCCAGAGTTTACTCAAACTCATGTCCATTGAGTCAGTGATGCCATCCAACCATCTCATCCTCTGTCATCCCCTTCTCCTCCTGCCCTCAATCTTTCCCAGCATCAGGGTCTTTTC